CAAACTTAACCTTGTTTCTTTCCATCCAAGTGAACCATGCAACAATAAGAGGTATTGGAGAATAGTTCCAATTGTTCCAAGACTGCCAGCAAGTGGTGATGTTATCCCAGGTAAAGAGATTTTTGTCAATGTTCAATTGGGCTAGCAGTTGATGCCATACAGCCTGCACAAAATTGCATTTAAGGAAAAGATGTAGCAATGATTCCTCCTCTTGATTACAGAACCTGCATACAGAAGGTCCTCTCAGCCCCTTTAGTTTAAGGATATCATCAGTAGGGATGAGATTGTTAAAGACCCTCCAACAGAAAAAGGACATGAAGGGGGATTGATAGTTACTCCAAATGATTTTGCTCCAGGATAGATGTTCCCATTAGAAGATTTTGGAATAAATGGATTTAGTAAGGCTTTTATTTGAGAAGGACTGCCAGAAAATTTTATCTGGTTTACTTCTATTGATGTTGATGCTGGCAATTTTTTCTATGGAGTTGGCATGTAAAATTTCTGAAAGTTTAAGTAGTGACCAATCTTCATCCACCCAATAGTCAGCCACCTTGAGATCAGGGTTTGGGTTGTTACTAATAGGAGAGCCAATCTTTAGGGAACCAGTTATCCAGCCAGAAATTTAAGTCTCCTTTCCCCAGATCCCAAATGAATAAGTTTTCAGCAGTGTGTCTTATATGAAGCATTTTGCCCCAAATTTTAGAATCCCCTAACTTCGCCCCAACAAGGGTGGGGTGCTGATTTTTACAATACTTTCCCTTCATGAATAGAGCCCACAAAGATGTCTGAGCTCTAATAGAGCCCAATAGAGCCCACAGGGAAGTCTGAGCTCTAAATTTAATCTAAAGCTTACATAGGTTTATTTGGAATAGCTAATTGATTCCCTTAAACCCAATTCCCCCAGCCAGTTGAGGTTTAGCTACTTTTTGCCATGAAGCCCAATGCATCTGCTGCCTCTATCCAGACCATAAGAATCTGTTAAGAGCTCTTTCAATCTGTATCTGAGTACTTTTCTTGATGTTAGTCACCTGTAGGATATAAGAGGGGAAAGTAGTTAGTATGCTTTTCAGTATAGTGATTCTGCCCCCATTTGAAAGGAAGGAGTGAGTCCACCCATTGAGGTAGGTAGTGATCTTATCTATGACATCTTCAAATTGAATTTGCTTGATCCTACCAGTAAGCAGCATGGTTCCCAAATATTTGATAGGAAGCTGAGAGTTAGAGAAGCCAGTATAGCTAGAAACCCACTATTTGTAGTTATGTTTAGTATGCTTATTAAAGATCAACAGGCACTTTTCAGAGCTAAAACACATACCATGTTTGAAATCTTTGTAAGAGTCTGATACACTTTCCTAACAGCATTTTTGTGAGCTCTAGAGAAGACCATGATATCATCAGCATAGATCAAGTGAGTGATGGAAATGTTGGATCTATGATGGTAAATAGTATAGTTTTGATTTAGGATGGAGTCATCAAGCATTCTAGACAAATAATCCATTGCAATAATGAGCACAGTGGGGGATAGGGGATCCCCTTGCTTCAGTCCTCTGGATGCAGTAAAAGAACCCCAGCCTTTATCATTTATGAGAATGGAATTATCATTGTTGTGAAGCCATCTACGTATCAGTTGGAAGAAGTCAGAGTGAAATCCTCTAGCAACAAGAACATCCAAGATGAATCCCCAGCTGATGGTATCATAAGCCTTTTTCAAATCCAATTTGTATATCAGATTGCCACCTTTGCAGGTCTTATTAAGGTCATGCAGAAGTTCCTGTGCCAAGAGAGTGTTGTCAATATGGATCTCCCCTTCACAAATGCAGTCTGGTTGGGCTTTATAATATGTTCAAGATGAGGTTGGAGTCTATTGACAATGATTTTGCTGATCACTTTGCTGAGTACAGTGGTTAGACAAATGGGTCTGAAGTGATTCCATGTGGTTTGTATCTCTGATTTGGGGATCA